TGACTTGTCAGCTTCTATCGGAAATCGAATCAGTTACCCCGAAATATAAGGCTACACGATGATATGATATATCCGCCGAAAACTGACGTATCTCACTCATCGCTTGTTGCCGCTGTAACGCAATTTGTTTTCCGTTCCGATGATTGACTATAGATTCGATGCGCGAACCGAAAAACGTTCTAGCATTGTTTCGACCTGTTTCCAATTAATCATCGATGTAAAAGAGTGTGCGTGAAAAGTACATTTCCCTGAAATTCGCTCCGCTGCCGCCACTCGGCACGAAACAACTTTTTCCTTAAATGAAAGCTCTTCTCAATTTCCAACTTTGATGCAACATGATTCAAACGTTTGAAGTAAGACAATCACAAAAAAAAAGAAAATTGATTCCCTCATTTTTAAAAATTTTAATAATTTAAAAATATAATATATATATAAAAAGAGAGATTTATTTTTTTAATAGGATTCCTCGAAATTTGAATAAAAGAAAAATATTAAGAATCGAATTTTTATATCTTAAAAAAAGGAAATACTTGCAAATATTTAATCTGTATACTTTAGTGTTTCTTTCCCGTGTATTTTTTTTTCTTTTTTTTTATATCCAAAACTTTATAATATTCGACGACTTCTACGAACATAAGCAAAAACATAAGCAAGACTATTTTAAAGAGGCTGAGGGAGTTGCCTCTTTTTTCTGCAAAATGTACGTGTGAATTAAGAAGGCCTGAAGCTTACGTTTTTTTATCAGTTATCGTATAGATTCTTTGCACGTGTTACGTCGCGCTATTTTTATTGCTCAGCATTCACAAGGTTCTCTCCGAGATGCAAATTTTCTTTGCCGCAATTTATTCACGCTACCTTTTGTTTGGATAGTTGTTTGCTACGTCGATCGTACTACTGGCAACAAAAGTGGAAATGAGGAGGCGGGCATTATTCTAATTATGTCTAATACAATTACGTCTAATACAATCTTGATTAATGATGATAAACTGCAAGTAGAAAATAAAATCTGTATCGCAGACAAACCATCAATTTCTATTATTTCTTTTATTTCTATTACTTCTATTATTTCTATTATTTCTATATTATTTTTATTATTTTTATTATTTCTATTAAAATATATCATATTGAATTTTTTGATTATCGTGGAAATATCTGTTCATAATGACACTCGATAAATTGGGTTTATATAATTGACAAATGATTAATAAAGCGTTACGAAAATTTAATTAACGTTATGTTTAAACAAAACGTATTAAAATTTGCGAAAATAGAACATAATATTCGAATACTAGATTACAGAGAAATTGACTACTCAACCCAATCATTGTAAACATTAATATCATTGATATCTCCGATTTAGATTGTCATCAATAGTATGCTCCTATGTATTATCTATTCGCTTACGTAATACATAATTTTTATAATAATATTTATATAACCTTTTTTTACTAAAGACATAATTTAACTATATTTTATCTCCAAATATTCAATAAATTCTGATCACGAATCTCCGTCTAAGGAATTATTCGCACTGTAGATAGTTTCGGTACGTGTGCATTTGAAAAATGAATATTTAATTAAAAAGATTAAAAGCACTAGAGAGCTGGTTTTAATTACTCTTATCAAAGGAGTAATCGTAATAGCGGGGATTGAACATTAGACGTGAGAAAATGCAGTTCCCGAGACGAAGTGCGCTCCGCGTTTTGACACTTCGGAATTAATTAAACGTCCTCGTGTCGCAAGAACTGCCATGTGGGCCCTCGTCCAGCAAATTGCCTCCAGTTGATCCTAATGGCGTTAAAACCCGTCCAGACATCCAGATGCTGACCATCGTCCACCGTGCGAGCATTAACGTTACGTTCCGGTTCATCCGAATTGCAAATGCGAGCTAATAGCTACTGCACGAACGAATTTAAGCTCTCTCTACCGACACGGGACCCGCCTTTTGTTCGCAAACGGATGGCTATCAACGTGGATATCACGTGACATCCGTAAGCTCTTTCCTTTTCATTCGTGCGAAATTAACATATTCTCTATCATTTTTTCGTTCGTGAGAAATGGGAATATTCAGAAAGAACATGCGATTGTTATTCCTGCAAACTCGGTAACAATCGTTCTTTGGATATAATTATTAATTATTTGAGTTACCAAAGAATATAGAATATTTATAAAAATACAATGCAAAAGCGCACATATTGCGATACTTTCAGTAAAAAAATCACTATAACAAGGTAATAAAATTTTAATAGGAAGATGAAGAAGAAACTAATGCTTATTTTTTATGAAAAAATTTAAACTTATAGGCTATTAATGTAAAGTCTTATTTTAATGTAAACTACACACTAAAATTAGAATTTCACAATATGTGAGATACATGCAACTTTATGTGCATCACGATTTTATATAGAAAAAAAATCTATACAATAGCTGTATTTTCAAAAGAAAGATAATTAAAAGTGAGGATACACATTCAATTTCAAGAGACGAACGGATATAACAAAGTCGAAGGAATTGCAAAGTGAAGAGTGAGAGAAAAATAGGTGCAAAAAAATTCAAGATCTTATCTTATATCAATCCACTTCCGATTCCTGACAGAAAGATCAGGGAACTCGGCGTTACGACGGCTCGTAATTTCTCAACGGATTGATTGTTCTAGTTAAGCTCAAGCACTTCAAGCCACGAATCTCGAGAATCTCTCATCAATGAGGTAGAAAGCCTCAGATTGCTGAGCAATGCCTTTGGGAATAAACTACAACGTGGAAGGTCAGCACAAAGAACTGAATCTTGTGAAAGCATTACATATTTTATAAAGAATTATCTCATCAGCCAAAAATTATTGAGCATTGTTCTAGAATCGCACAAAAATAATTAGAAACCTGGAAATAAATAGATTACTTTATAAAGAAAGTAAATATTTATGGCAGCAAAGAGAGATAAAATTATACTTAAAATTTATTTTAAAGAGGATAAAATATTTTCGTAATAATTAAGTTACGCGAGGGTTATTATTTAAGAAGTAAAGTGTCATTTTAAAACGTTTTAATTAAAATCGACAATTTTCCGAGAAAATTACAATTTCAAAGCCGAGACATTATAAAAACGCATAAAATAGAGTTCAACTATATTTTCATAACTCCATCTTGTATACCTTAATTTCGCACATGACAATAATAAGACTCCACTGTTTAAAATTATCTTTTAGTAGAAATAATACAAGATTTGAAATTGGAATCACACACAATTTTCAAAATGATATACATATGTATATCTCCATATAAAATTAAAGTTTAAATGTAAGAGTTTCATTAAAATAAAAACAATAAAAATAGAAATAATACAGAAATCTAGGTCATGTAAGTCAATTCATGCCAATAATTCCATTAACATCATAACATCGATATCATGCTACTGTTTTATAAAATTTTATATCAATATTATACCAATGCTTTATTATAGAACAAAATGTATATAACATTAATCTATTGTAATCACTTTTTTAATTTCCATTATCACTTCTTTTTTACTTGTTCGGAAAGATAAAATAATTTTTTATCTGTTTTTTTCTGTAATAGCAAATAAAATTTTACACAAAATGTATATATATATACGATAAAGACAATTTACCATAAATTAAATGTATAATATACATTCAGCTATTTCGCGCGATATATGTATATTCAGTTATCATGCTGTAAAGTGCAGGAGACATGTGTAAATAAGCTTTAAAATTCTGTAATAATGTAATTACCAAAAATTTTCAATTTCGCATTAATTTGCGATATCATTATATTTATATTGATTTTCTATTATTAATCACGATTCACATATCTCTATCGTTATCGAATAATTAAAAATACGACGATCGAAGATTAACGATGATTGCATCCCAAAAGCACTTGTCCCGGGGATAATCCAATTATTCGGTCTATCGCATGAAAAATGATTTGCTTACAGTATGGAGCGACGACGTCAGCGCGACTGATCATCCGCGTGTTAAGGGCAAGTGATCTCGCCGTCGATCGTCAGTGTCGTCCTGACGCGACGTGACAGTCTGGAAAACATTGCGTCATGACGTTGTACGGAGGAGGACATTTCTTTTATTTCTATTACTTCTATTATTTCTATTATTTCTATATTATTTTTATTATTTTTATTATTTCTATTAAAATATATCATATTGAATTTTTTGATTATCGTGGAAATATCTGTTCATAATGACACTCGATAAATTGGGTTTATATAATTGACAAATGATTAATAAAGCGTTACGAAAATTTAATTAACGTTATGTTTAAACAAAACGTATTAAAATTTGCGAAAATAGAACATAATATTCGAATACTAGATTACAGAGAAATTGACTACTCAACCCAATCATTGTGAACATTAATATCATTGATATCTCCGATTTAGATTGTCATCAATAATATGCTCCTATGTATTATCTATTCGCTTACGTAATACATAATTTTTATAATAATATTTATATAACCTTTTTTTACTAAAGACATAATTTAACTATATTTTATCTCCAAATATTCAATAAATTCTGATCACGAATCTCCGTCTAAGGAATTATTCGCACTGTAGATAGTTTCGGTACGTGTGCATTTGAAAAATGAATATTTAATTAAAAAGATTAAAAGCACTAGAGAGCTGGTTTTAATTACTCTTATCAAAGGAGTAATCGTAATAGCGGGGATTGAACATTAGACGTGAGAAAATGCAGTTCCCGAGACGAAGTGCGCTCCGCGTTTTGACACTTCGGAATTAATTAAACGTCCTCGTGTCGCAAGAACTGCCATGTGGGCCCTCGTCCAGCAAATTGCCTCCAGTTGATCCTAATGGCGTTAAAACCCGTCCAGACATCCAGATGCTGACCATCGTCCACCGTGCGAGCATTAACGTTACGTTCCGGTTCATCCGAATTGCAAATGCGAGCTAATAGCTACTGCACGAGCGAATTTAAACTCTGTAGGCGAGGATAAGTGCGGACTCGGTTATCGCCGCGAGAACGACAATGTCAACGCTCGCTACAGACACGTTGCTGCCGTCCACCGCCGTCGCCGAAGAACTGATGACCGCTCTCACACCCACACCCACCAGGATAGACACGCAACTGGATGTCAGTCCCATCTCGGTGGTTCTAGCGGTCTCCATAGTGTGCATTCTGTCACCTATCACTGTCACCGGCAACTCCATCATCCTGGCCGCCTTCTACAAATACAAGAGACTTCGAACCGCTTCCAATTGCCTACTAGTCTCCTTGGCCATTAGCGATTTTGGGGTGAGATAATTATTTAACTCTTTCACATCATATTCTTAAATTATAAAAAGTGCTTGTGTCAACGTTTAAGACAGTATATAATATACATTATACATATATACGATTGATACATATTTAAAATGCTTTACATAAAAAAAATAAGAGAAAGATTTGTCATTAGAAATTATTTAATTACTAGTTTAGTAACATCAATTACTGATGTTCTACAATGCTCTCGCGGCATAAACTGGTTCCTCATATAATGTCAATATTGACTCCACGCGTCTCTTGACGACGAGTTCGGTTTTCATTCAACAACACAAGTGCAGATTCTTGTTTAGATTTGCGGTAAATAAACAAGTTCTTCTCTCATGTTGGCAGGTTGGCGTGTTTATGCCTTTCGGGATGCAACTGGAGCTCTCCGGTTTACCGGAAAACGGCGTCTCCGCCCTCTGCATCGTGCCGTACTGCATCATAATCGCGCTCTGCAGCGTAAGCGTCCTGGTGACGGTGGCAATCGCGGTTGATCGTTTGACTTCATTGGCACAACCGTTGCGGTACAAGAACATCATCACCCACAGCAGCATAGAGAAGTACATCGCGGTCTTTTGGATATATGCTATCGCCATCGGCCTCTCGCCCCTCATCTATGCTCAAATCACCGGAAAGATGCAGTCGCATAGGTAAAGATTTTTATTCAATATGCCATATTTCTTATGTTGCAGTATTTTGACAATAACATTGCGTATTTATCGAGAACAATTTGAGCTGCTAAAAAATTTTCACGGCAGGTTGTAAAGAGATACAAGAGATTGTTACAAGATTGCTACAATAAGCCAAGCGTTACTCAATCAGTGAATATAAATGGCAACTTTTTGTCGTCTACTCTTCCGTGTTAATTCTAAGATAAATCTATTATTTAGAATAATCTCTGCAGATGGTATACATTCTCACATAAATCTCGTGTACATTTATTATTTAGGATTATTCCGGGGAATATATTATAGAGAGCTTGCGATTTTCGGGATTGTTAAAATTGCCTAACTTAAATTGAAATGGAGTACCATATGAATTGTTTAGTTTAATCCAAAATACAATACATACGCGCACGTATTTTATTCTTTAATCCTTGTTCTATTTTTAATTTTTATTTTAACTTTTCTTCTATCTTTATATCAATAAATTTTCATGGAGAACTTAACACGAAGTAACGATATACACGTGTGATTAATGTTTAATGTAAATTTTTGGATTATTATCGTGCTACTCCAAGATAAGATCATTTGCTTTTATATTTTATAGTAAATTTCCTGAAAATATTCAACTTTGTTATAGTGTAGCAGATTCTATTTTAATCTCCTCCCACATATACCAACAAACAAAATACCTCCGTAAAATTATTAAAACCAAATTTTCTTCTAGTCACGTTCTATAAACACAAAAAGAGAGAAAAATTAATGGTTATATATAATTTTGTATAGCGTCCACGCTTCCACGAATAACCATATTTATCCAGAATCTCCAATTAATCGTTAAATTACAACTAATTGCGATAAAATATACTTTATATACATTCAAATGTTTCATATACTAATAATATCCAATATTGCACGTGACAATTTGAATTTGAGTATTATTAAATTCACTTATAATTATTGTTCTAAAATATAACTTTTTAAATATTCTAATTATAATATCATAAGTAAATAAAAATAAATAGAAGCGAAAAAGACAGAGCATCATTTCGTGCAATTAAAGAGTCACAAAAGAAATCAAGCGCGCGATCTATCTCTCTCTGCAATTTTTTACTTAATGTGCGATATTTTTCACGTCGCGGTATTTACGAAAAAGATTATGAGTCAAACGTTATTCAATCAATGAAATTAATGGTACAACTTCTTAAAGTACACTCCCCCACGTTCATTTCTAATAAATATTAGGTCTACCGGAAAGTTCTGTCCGTTTTTGGAATAAAACAAAATACAAATTTTTATTACCGTCAATAAACTTTATTAAATAATGTAATTGCAATTATTATTAATGATTTCTTGCCAGCGTGAGGGCAATTTGTATATCCCATTTTCGAAAAATGTTTTATCTTTTGATACGAAAAATTGAACCAGTGCTTGTTTGATATCTTCTTCATTTTTGAATTTCTCGCCCCTCAAAAAATTTTGTAAGGACAAAAACAAATGATAGTCGGAGGGTGCTAAGTCCGGGGAATATGGTGGATGCGACAGAATTCCCCAGCCTAGTTCTGCAATTTTTTGACGAGTCCCCAAAGCAGCATGTGGCCTAGCATTATCATGATGCAGTATGATGTTCCTCCTATTGAACATCGCCGGCCTCTTTTCTTGGACTGCTATATTTAAATTATCCAGTTGCTGACAATACTTCTCCGAATAATGGCAATTACATTATTTAATAAAGTTTATTGACGGTAATAAAAATTTGTATTTTGTTTTATTCCAAAAACGGACAGAACTTTCCGGTAGACCTGATATATTATTTAAGATAATTTTCGGATGATATATCGCGCGTCTAAATCTCGGATACATTCATTATTTATTACCTCTGAAAAATAAAGGAACTTGCGATTTTTCGGAATTAAGCGGAAAAGAATGATATAATGAAAAGCTCTCCTTATATAGCAAAAGTGAATTATATGCGGTATGACTGCCGCGAAAATGATCACGGATGATAAAAGCGATATTTAAAGTATACGAAAACAAATTAATTCGTTGAGCGATAAATATGATACAATCAGCTTACTCAACAAAGTTCGATTGAGTTAACCTTCCGTTGATTAAGATTTTAAAAATGGAACGATCCATCGAGTGTTCAACGGACACTCTTGTAGCGCTAAACAAACTTTCTAACGCCATGCGCTACATTGCCATGAATAGAATTGTGAGAAACTCTATTAAAGTTCCATCTGAAAACACCTACATCATCTAAAACGCATCGCATATTATTCAGCGACACGTGGCATCTCGAAAAGAACGGATATTATACAGATGGCATAATAAGTAAAAGATTTGTATGTGCGCTGCACGTTAAAGATTATAATATACATTGCGTTGCAAGGATGAGGATCAGACTTAAACTATATTCAGTCTTGCTATTTTTAATGCTCCATTATCTATCTTTTCAACGCTTTAGTATAATAAACAAACTGTCAAAGAGCTCAACATCGCTTTATAATTGATCGTATCTTATAACAGCATAATATGATCGTGATCTTTTTAAAGAAATGTGTGATGCTATTACTCTACTGAGACTATATAAAGATATATATATATGTATGTGATTAGAATAATTTTCTTGTTAACTTTGACTCAATAATGATCAAGAAATTTATATCTTTCATGTCTACTTTCATTCCATATTTCAATATTGAAAATAAGCTTCAAATTATAATTCGAAAAAAGATATTGTATAGACAACATTTTTTTATTCATAAACGGATAACTGTTAATCTGTGACCGCTTGTAATTCTTTGAAAGCGGACGCTCGGTATTTAATAAATTTTCAGCACGATCTCGACATAAACATAATCGCTCTACGGCATTCAGTTCCAAGTCACGCAATCTAAACGCGATATAAAAACACAGGGGGGGGGTCTCCAATTACATCATTGTCATGAATTGCACCGATATATCTACGATATATTGCTTGCATCACCTGACAAGGCGAGAAAGTCTTTCACTTCGTGAAGCTCGACGTGATGCAAGTTGCGCGCGGGCGGTCAAGCGACGCATTAAAACGTAAGCTACAAAGAGCGAAAAGAAGGTTCTTTAACCCTTTGATACCGTACCTTTGCGCAATCACAAAGTAACCTGGGGGAACTTAAATCGATCGATCCCATTCCCGGTCCGTTGCACGAATCCCATGTCTATCTCGTTGCGCTTATATTGCGGACATTGCATTTATGAGATATAAATTTTTATAAGCAGTTATATATCTGGCAGCGTATATTCCGCTCACGCGTATCATGTTTTTTTTTTTTTTTTTTTAAATAATAAAGGACCACGTGTTTCTAAATATGTTAGTATGTACTATATATATATATATATATATATCTGCTAAAATATCCTGCGAAATTTAATATAAATTAATAATAAAAAAACCTTTTGCATTTAATACAATATTATAAAATCATATCAGTTACATTTTATTTGCATTTGTACGAGATTTTTAATATATCCACCTATTTCAATTTTATTTTGTAGTGGCAGCTGCAGATTCGACGCGGCCGTCCTACCGCCGGTCAGGGTGTTTCTGTTCGGGGCAGTCTGGGCACCGAGCGCCTTGGTCCTGCTGAGCTGCTACGTGTACGTTTATCTCGTCGCACGTGCACACGCACGCGCAATTTACACAGTGGAATTATCATTCAGACATCAAACACAGACCTTGGTGCTGCCTCGTTACGGACAGACGTTGGCGATTACGGTCGGTGCGTTTCTCATCCTATGGCTTCCATTTCAAGTGAGTGAACAACGCAAGCACACCGCGCAAAATTGTTTTCAAAATCTTTTTCTCTTTTCTTTTTTCCCCATCGTAAAAGGATTTTAAAGGAGTATCCTGCGAGTTGCCGCGCGTTCGTATAAAAAATACGAGCTCGGAGAACTACGGCCGCACGTTGCGACATGTCTGATCATTAAAGCTCCGTTACTACTTAAATATCGTCGCGTCGGACGGGTGATGACATCAATTTCACTTCGCTGTCGGGGCGCGCTACGTGACCGCACCGGAAAACGAGATTTAAGTCTAATATAGTGTTCATAAGGTGCTCTATGATGCGACGAGTAATAATGTCGGTATACAGAGAAAACGACCCCATACAGAGAAGAACGAGAATAAAGCGTACGAAGTTTACGTTACAATATTAACGCCGACGTATAGAAAAGTGATCGGCATATTGAGTCCGACGTGTGATTAACTTGTCACGCGATTTCTCAATTTTTCCCAAGGTCGAATAAACGCGCGTGTCTACCTCATCCCGTCTACCTTACTCGCCTTTTTAACTCCGGTCACTTTATAAAAATCTGTTTATGAAATTCCGTCTCCCATCTGTGCGAACAACGCTGATGCTCATCTCGGTTATGGTCCCGATTACTTCGGGACACAGGAAATAATGACTTGTTTATTCTTTGGCATGATCCGCGCGTTGCTGCAGTAGTGCAATTTTTATCACACATATTATCTCCGCCAGCTGAGTCGGGCAACACGCATATGCGCCGGCAAAGAGAACCGAGTTCTGGGATTTTATTACGGGGCGATCGGCTTATGCACGTTTACCGTTTATGATCTGTGTAAAATTTTGTTTTTCAAAATGAAACATGCGGGACTGAAAAACTTAAATTAAGACAGAATTCGTATCACGATCGTGTCCGTTTTGTTGAATATTTTCGCCGAGAACGAACCAGATGAGATACGCCGCGCGAAAAAAATATCTAATATTTGATTCACAACAGAAAAAGTTTCGAGGCTAAGCATTAATACATCGGATTATTTTACGGCTGAATTGATCGATCTCGAAAACAGCAATTCGAGATAAGCGATAAAGTTTTCTTGACCTCGACTTGTCTCGACTTATCTTAAGCGAGCAAAAGTTTCGTTAAACTATGGGAAGACCGACGCAATTTATGAAATTGCAGAAGCTAGAAACGTGACAGATGGATACTTACAAACTACGAAAAAGAAAGAAAACTACGTCACTACTTGCTATGGTGCTTCAATAACGTACCCTTCGTTGCTTCTGCATCATACAAAAAATAAATAAAAATAATTGCAAATATTTTCAGAATCAAGAGTGTGCCCGAATTCTTTTTTAATGTGAAAACTTCGCAAATTGGTGTGATTTAATTTAAAGTTCTTTTAATAGCGACGATAAACAAGAGATCGTTGATCAACTCAAGCGTTTCATTGACACAATGCGGAAGATTCGTGAGTTAGTAATTCAATTCGCGGTGAAGAAACAATATTTATGTTCCGCTTTTGAAAATTTTCTGCACCAAACAAGCGTGCAAGCGATGCGATGCATCGTGAAATAATTCTTGTACATGGAATGAGGTAGATTTCAAAGGGCGTCTCGGCGTTTGTATCGGTTTTTGAATATTTCTTCGGAAATCGATACTTTCAGCCATTGTAGAAACCTGTCCTCTTCACTTTGACGCGATCGTGATATCACAGTCGTTGCATATCGCTTTAACAAAAATGTCGAACACGTTCCTCTCTCATTTTTCAGACTTGCATGCTGGTAGACATCTTCTGTGGCACCAACATCTTGTCAGAATGGGCGGTGGTGTGGCTGGGTCTGCCGATTTTAGCGCACAGCGGTGCAAATCCATGGGTCTACGCCTTTCATCACGGCGAAATGCGCGTCGCCGCCGGGAAGATTGCCGAGGATCTAATCACTTTGTTCGGTGTGATGCCGAGCCGCTACGGTTGCTCGCCCATGAGACGCGGCTCCAATACGAACCTCGAACTGGCCGAAGTAAACAACGACAGCAACGAGAGTAGACGGCATCCGTCCGTGGAAAACTGCTTCACCGCCGCCAAGCATAACGTTCTTTATGCCAGTAGAAGATCTGCTCTGGAGATATCGGGTAGGCAGACCGATATCTCGCTCGAGAAACACGACCATATCAATCACATTGCATCCTGCAGTAGCCGACCAGGCGATATAATCGAAGAGAGCATCCACGATCTGACGAAGATGCTCGATCCGAAGTACATCGTCGATCGGAATCACGTAATTGATTCCAATCACAACATCGACAAGATCAAGAATCTCAAGTATTTGCTGGATCCGACCTTCAACAAGATTAGACATCTTCGACGGTTGAACCACAAGCGGCTGAACGACAAGAGCTTCCCGCTCATCTCCGAGCCCAAGTTTATATCTTATCAAAACCTGAAGAGCGACGGGGCGCACGGCAGTCGCAAGTTTCTTCCCTTGAACGCGTTGTCGGATCCGATGCTGAACGGGTCAAACACATCCGTGGTGAACACGAAGGACTTCAACGAAGCGCTCTGCCACAATAACGTTGTTCCTCAGAGGCGAAATTCGAATTTATCGTCTATGTCGGATTCTAATCTCAAGGCAGCCACGGCGCATACTTCTGGGACAGACATAAAACTCTTTCCGGCGAACGGCAACAGCACGGAGAATCGTGGCTATTCAGTGCAAAATCTCAATCACGGATACGAGGCCGCGTTAGCGAGACACGCGATGATGCTCTCTCAGCAACTGGAGGATCAACGTAGATCTACTAGCAGGACCACCTCGCATTTACGAGCCAAGTTCCGCGGTCATTACGGACGCGCGAGCCCGAATCTGAAGCTCAGGCTGCGAAATAATTCCTCCGCGTCGTCGTCATCGATGTCCAACAGCGTCAGACTGGACTCCGACGCAAGCACACCGAAGCAAAGCGTCTCGCCGACCGTCCCGCATGTGACCATCACGTCGAACAAACTGGCTAATCTCATTAACCTGGATCCACCGTCGAGAAGCGCGCACACGCACAGAATAAACCTTACTGCCAGAACTGTGACACAAACTCGCAAAACTCTGGATATACTGAAGCACTCCGAGTCAATTAATACAATCGATCCGTACTCAACGCACCGTGTAACTCTGCTGGAGCCTTCCAACTTGATGGATTCCTTGATCGTCCCGACAATACACTCGGAACCACCGAGTCCAATTGGAACCATCGATCCTTTCTCCTCGACATCCCTTCAAAACGAGGAAGCGCAGTGTCTTGAAATCCCAGGATCCGCTGCAAATATCAATGTTGCACAACGCGCTAAATCACCTCTAGGTAAGAAATGCAGTCCTGTGAGGCATTCGGAACCGGTGATACCGACCGTGCTGCTGAACATCGAGGATTATAGCGAACCGTTTGTACAGAACGATCAGACGTCGAGTCAAGAAAATGATTTTCTATCCAATAACACGCCGACGTTGGAACCGATCGATTTGTTTGAAGCGCTGCTGAGGAACTCGGACAAGAGCAAAGATGCGAGATTACCAGAGCCCATCTTTGGCGAGCACGACTCCACTCGGTTCAGTTCGAGACGGCCATCCGACTCAAGGTGGTCCGAGTCCTCGAGGAGTCAGGAGATCCTGCCAAGCGTGACGGAATATCAAACGTTCCCGTCATCCTACTCGGTGAACAACTTTCAAACTTGCAACAGCGGCAGCGATCTCAACGACCTCACGTCCTTGGATCCGTTCATGTGTCCCGACGCCCTATCGTCATCTCTGCGCGAGTCCTTCTTCAGCGCGCCGTCTGTACCCAACTCGGATATCTTCACGTCTTTCGAGGATAGCGATGGACCGATTTATACGCCCGATGTCACGCCTGATTTCGAGCGGGACACGTCGTCGGCGTACAATTCCATGTCGACGATAAATGCGAAGAGATGCGTTATCGAGGCGGCATTTCAAAGCAGATCCACAGAATCGGTGCACCGAGTCAGGTATCCGTCGACGCGATCCTGCGCGATTCTCAGACTGGAGCCAGCTGTGCATTCGAACAGATTACGCGTTAGACCCAGCACGAATTACATCCTGAGGGGTCCGCCGATCAAGAGAAATCCGCGACTAGCGCCCCTCGCCATTCCGACGCCTACCGACATTTGCACACCTACGTTCGACGTCGTGTCAGAAATCAAGAACGACAATGGTGTCGGTGTCAGAGTATGAAGCAAGAGTGTTGAAGAAATAGATATAAATGGGAAACTTGTAAATTTGTGTGTACAGAAAATTCCGTACAAATGCTTGCTAATCACAGAATTTTACTCTCTTGAAAAAATTTAGGAATTGCAAATAAAATTCAAAGGCCTCTATTGGTCGTGTATGTGTCATCCAGTAATTCGTAATGTTGAATTTTTATTAAAAAAATATACATTATGTTAAATATTAATTAAAATATGTAGTTAGAAGAGAGATAAAATATTTCAACGATTAAGTCTGATATTATAAGCATTTCTATATCGAGCCAGTGTTCACTTTAGATTATTTAGCATACAACTCTTTGATTTAAACTCTTTTTCTATCATGCTTACAATATTTCAATATATTCATACGTCCATTTCTCATATTTACATTTTCAATCTCTGAAATCAAATTTTTGCAATTATATCTTTGAAAAAAAAAAATTCGGTGTTCTTGATTATATATATAAAAAGGATTTCAATAAACTACAATTTTAGTTATAAGAAACGCGGTGTTATATGTGAAAATCACGGACATTACTCGCAGGAGAAAATCGATGTGTTTAAAGTTGAACTGATAGTGCGATGTGTCTCTATAAAGAATTGATTTAATATATGAAGAAGAGAGAACTCTGCGAGAGAGAGAGAGAAAGAGACACATTATAATCGCTGTTTCGTGCGATAGTTGTTCAAATTAATAAACATATTCGATGTGTAAGAAAGCGATACCCCGGGGATTTGTCGGATATTAAAACCGATAAATCGCCGTTTTATCGGAATTGAGAATATTTAATAATTTAAACGAATTCCTTTGTCGATTTATCCGACCAAATCGTTATGCGTAAATAATGTTCCGTCTCAAATGTGAATTAATATTTCTCGTATTGTGAGATAAGAGGAAGTTCTCTATGCGGTCCAAGCATTGCCTGTGACGTATATCGTAACGTGTAAATATATACTTACACGCGCGATTGCGTTTATTATATTCTGTGAATCGATCCGCGAATCAAACGGTTATTCAAAGAAGTTCTGTGAATCACAGAATCGCGTGCCAAGCGAACTGTATCGAATCCGAAAGTTTCACAGAAGTCATCGAGTTAAGCTTGTAACCTGTTATCGCTTGTGTACCTGATGAAAATGATATAATTGTTGACTAGGGAAGGTCGTAAATATATATTGCAGAATATTTACTGGAATATACTTTAGTAAAATGCAAAACTTGCTAAAATCTGATATGTACAATACGGATAATAATGATATTTTGCGAAGCCAACGAATCGCAAATATTTTCGTTTGATCTCATCCCATTTTTACGCGGTTTTTTTTCCGGATATGAATGGCTTATAGATAATTTTAATATTCATCGCTTTTCTATCAAAAGAAAAATAATATGGAAATTTAATCTGTTTATGTGTAGAAACGTGTTTTCAAACAGTAACTCTTTTTTTTTTTTACCAAAAATGATATTAATGGCAAACAGCAAAATTATATGTATTTTATACACTAAACAAAAACGCGCAAAACAAAAAGAGAAGGAAGGTGGAAAGAAAAGACAATTACGTACACGGTTAGAGTTGGAAAGAAGGATCAAAAGTAAAGCAGAAGTATAAATTTCGAAAGGCAACTCAATAGCGTTAGATGCATTGTTATTTTCTACGGGATATGGTATCGAAACTACCATGTGTGCTATTTTTTGTAACTTTTCATTACACATAGTGTGTAATGAAAGCACATCTATATTGATTTTTTCGCGAGCGTCTCATGAAAATCTCTAACTTTTGTATTACGTCGCTGTTAAAAAAAATCGCTTTTGCTAACTCGAATAATGAAAATATCTGTATATCTACGGGACGCGAGGATAAGAGAAATCGTGTCGGAATCCTCACAACTAAATGCCAATTAAATATCGAAGTACTTTTATACATAAGATTATTGAGAGAAAGAGAGAGAAAGAGAGAGAGAGAGAGAGAAAGAGAAAACTCACGTATAAATGTATAAATTATTTTTAACATATACTCTTATAAATACATTTTTCAAAAGAAGATAAAAAATAAAGTTTCCTATATGCTCCATGTACCTAAACGGTGTCCCGATACTTGAAGCAATTTAATAGTCGATGCACGAATTTTATTGAAAAGAATTTTATTAAAGCATGTATCATCAAACGTAAGCAAATGCATACAAGCAACTAAAAAGAAAACGCTTATTTTCATTCGTATTCACATTGACTGATCTTGCGCGATTTGTCTTCCATAATGTAAAAGTTATAAATAGATACAAGATCTGAGAGATATAGAGGTTCAGTTTCAATTCAGCTTTCCTCCAGCTTCAATTTTTTTTTCCTTCTGGTTCTTCTGCCTTGCAATAACATAATGGCAAGTGTTATGGCAATAAATGCTTTTTAGTTAGTGATCTCCAAACCATCAGTGTATATATTACATATATTCTGTATCAAATTCGAGAAAATATCAAAGAAATGAATGTTTAATACAGCTGTGAAAAAATTTTCTTAAATATATATATCTTACAACACTTGATCATTACCTTAGAGCAAGGTGCAGAGGTTTATTAGCATTAAAATTTCCGTTGTCCTTACGGGACACCGTTATAATATAAATTCTGTAAGAATAAAACTTCAGTATTCATGGAAATGACAGGCACTGATATATTTTTATGAAATACCTTTATTGTTGTTTATATAGATGTTAAGCGTGAGAATGTGAAGCTTCGATTCGCACTCCAAATATACGATCCTGATCAAGAAAGAGTCGCGAAAAGTGTATATATCTTATTTTCTAAATTAGGCAACCATGATTTCAAAATATATAGATATCGTTTTTCATCGTAATAAATATAACGCAAACACACGAAACGCCAAGGAAATATTAAAGATTGAAAAAAAAATTAAGTTTAGACAACTTTTTCTTAGAAAACAGAAAGATATTTATAAATCGTCCTAAATGATCTCTTGTATATTCGCTTAAGTAAAATTAAAAAATAAATTTGGATAAAATAAAAAAAGTATGTATTCGTCTGTTTTTTATTAATGTAAAAAGGCGTAAAATAAAAATAGACGAACCGTTAAAGTAAATTCTTTTCATATATAGAAAATATACAGAGAAATAATGATCATTATTACCTGGTTAATGTCGATTATCGATTATCAATGGATTATTTATCATCATTTTTACAGAATCACGTCGAAAATTATAATGCAGAATCGAAGATGCGACGATATGAGGAAGATTATATCCGAGCACTGTAATTAATACAATTACATATATGTTTTTGTATATATGAAAAGATAAAATATATTAAATTACTCGAATACGTAAAGGATTTTCTGATTTTTTTACCTTGTACATAAACTCCAACGAATGGTATTTTCCTGACGATCCTTATTATTCTTTTAATTCACCGAATTCTGTAAGATGTAGTTGAGTATTCGATCCACGGTACACATTTCATAATACAAGGTTTTCTAATTCGATTTTAGCGTTCCACTTTAACGTACGATACATAAGACACAATATGAAATTTATAACGTCTAAATTCGAAAGAGGAAGGGGGGGGAGATAATGTGTCCTTTGATGCGTACTTCACTGTTGTTTGTTTTTCGGCATAGTATCTGAAGTCGTCCGAAGGTTTAAGCAAACGTACGTGGATCACGTAGCGAAATTCAGTGCCTTAGAAATCTGTGATATTGCATTTATTCAGGTGAAGTGATTATTTTGTCTTTTCTATGACTATAAAGAATTTTTTGATAAACTAAATAATAAAAACGATATATATCAATTTATACAGGATCAATCTGAAATCCTCCGAAGGTTTAAGCAAACGTACAAGTGGATCACGTAGCGAAAAGTGCCTTAGGAATTTGCGATATTGCGCTTATTCAGGTGATTCTGATTATTTTATGTCTTTTCTATGACGATAAAGAACTTTTTGAGAAACTAGATAAGAACGATCTATATCGATTTATACCCAAGACCTTTCAGATACACATGATAAATGTTCATATTCCTTTTATTCTACCATAAGATGTAAATGTTAATTTGTAGTAGTTAATGATTAGTATGAAATATCAAAATATATTCCATATCTCTATCATATCAATGCAGTTCCTTAAATAATTGCTTCATTTAATCTAATATAAGTCAAGTTGCTTCATATAAAGGATAAAACAAAATGTGTAGCTTTAGATAATATATAATTCTAGCTATTTGTGCTTTTAGAGCTTCTAGATTTCATCCAACATGGAATCAGAATATATAATAGAGGGCAATGCAAGGATTACTGCAAAAAATATACCAAATTCTATTGCGTCAAGATGCATTTGTTATAGACCGCATTCTAACATTATATGCCATGGCTGTGGATTTTGGACAAGAGGAAGAGTAAGATACTGCTGTCCTCAACATCCAAAGGTCAGCATAATATTGTTTTAACATCTCTTTCTTTTCTTCTTTTTTTGGATTCTTCAATAATTTTTTCAATTTATTGAAGATGAAAACATTATTAAAACAGCAGTATTTTTAACACTTTAATTGTATTTTTTCTATTTTATTTTACAGATTGTTTTCCTCTACGATTATGCTCAATGTCCACGCTGTAAAAGCTATGATTTCATGCTGACAGAGATCTGAAGCTTATAATATAATCTTACTACTAATATTATAATATTTAGTATTTTATATTATTAATATTTAAAAAAACTAATATTTCGACAATAAAACACATTACTAGTATTCTTAATATATTTTGATAGATTCAAATAAGAGCAATTATATTGTGTTAAGAAATCGATTTTGGCTTGTTCATAAAAAACTTAATTTTCTTTTCAACTTTAATATAATATCTTTGAAGGTAAATGGAGGGTACAATTTAAATAAGAAATGAGACTTATTATTTTTAAACATATATGTATATAATATATATATTAACATATATATGTAGTACTTTATCCAATACAAACGAAAAAAAATAAACGACATACAATTGTGTATCAAGAGGCATCTTTGCTTTTTTTCAAATTGTTCTTATGTGTTTGTTAGTTACATTACTTTACGCTGATCAGTCTTAAGCTTTTTTTTTAATACAGAAGCCTGAGAGGAGCCACGCTGCCGTTTTTCGTAAGGGATTCTAGTGCACGCAAGATACTAGTTTCTCAACATAAGATGAATTATCATGAATTATAGAACCATTGTTATGTATCCCTCGGGCTCATACTGTGAGTTTACGGGTTTAGCAAACCCGAGATATCAAAGTTATCCAATATCTAGAGATATAGTCATAATTTTGTTTCGTATCTTTATTTCTATTTTATTTTATTACTTTCATCTTTAATATTCTATTCTATTAAGGTTTCAGCAAAAGTATAAACTGTAAGATAAAAGGAAATAGTACATTAGGTCGTGTATTGGATGAAAGTAGAAAATTTTGTAGAAATTTCTATCCATTCTCGGATCGACTTTTGCGATAAAAAATACATCTCTTCTTTGCAATCGAATTAAGCACCGAAGCTGCATTCATCTTTACTCGTTCTATTCCTCCCTTCGTCGACATTCCAAATATATTGAAACTTGTAAATAGAAATAATGGTATAAATTAAACGTGAAAGTTTATGATTATTTTGTCAATTTGTGCTTTATTAATCATCTTCTTCACGAGCGCCTCCTGATGGAACCTTCGGGCCACCTGCCCTCTTCGCCATAATAATTTGATCTACTTTGAGAACTGTGCACGCTGCACCAACCGCATATTTCATCGCCCATTGCTTCGTCAAATATAGATCCAGGATTCCTGCCTCGACAGTATCGATCAGAGCTGCACCATCACCCTAAAGATATACGATTTATACATAACATATTATTTGAAAACAAAGAAAAAGAATATCATCTATGATTCAAATAATCATCCATAGATGCTAAATCAAATAAGAAAAATCAGACATCCACATATTTGAAACAAACACATTATCTGAAGATGATTATCGAATAAATGAAAATAAGCTTTCCCTCCTTATGGGCTGCGTACAACTTTGATAGAAGCTCGGAAGCGTGAGTACCGCTGCTCTCGGCCAGCGTCTTAGGGAATATCTCCAATGCAGTGGCAAATTTGCGTGCTGCGTATTGTTCCAGGCCAGGAAGCGTGTCCGCATATAACGCCAACTGCGCAGCAAGCTCGAGTTCCGTGGCACCCGCACCCGGGACAAATCGACCATCCTTTGTGATGCCCTTGAAGGTGTTAACACCGTCGTCGATCGCGCGCTCGATATCGTCCATGTAATTCTCGGTGGAACCACGCACGAGCACAGTGCTAACGCGACTTTCCTTTCCATCCAGTTTGAACACCACCACTAAAGTGTCTCCCAATTCCTCTATATGCACCGTATCGGCATATCCCAACTCTTCTTTCGACGGAGGTATCTTTAAAAAAGAAGGTTATTAGTAGTTTTTTCATATTATCTTATTTTAAGTATAAATGTACAGGATGCTAAAAAGCAACAAGTTTATTTGAAGAAAAGATATGATTAAACCAAATAAATTTACCAGTTTTGAGTGCGCGGTGGCGCCGACGGTTTTGCAAAGTCGTCTGATATCAAACTTGCTCGGGATACGAACGGCCATCAGATTGTACTTGTTCATATAGTGCAAGGCCATGTTTCCGAACTTTCCACCTGATACCACTACCTCGGCACCGCTGTCGGCGATCGCTTTGATCTGATTTTCCAGCAGCGATTCCTCGCCGCGCGAGAATTTCAAGAGCTCATCGGCCGTCTTTATCAGTACGGTACCCTTGGTCTCAGTCTGGGTGATATCCACAGCGCAAGTATAAACCGCGATTTTCGCGTTGGTCTTTCTTGTGACTTCTCCCTCTGCATGACGTTTAAACACCATGCCTTGGATCACTTGGGAATTGCTCAAGCCACCTCCGAGTATCTTGCAAACCCGCACATTGTCGACATTAAATGTCGTTTTCTCTGGTAAGATGGAAATGCAAGCTTTGGTAACGAGAGAAGCGAGAATATCCTCGTTTCCATATTGTTTGCTCATAATAGCGGTCCTAATCCCCTTTTTTACTTCTTCTTCAGAATGTACATTTTTCACTTCATGAACAACTAGTGTTGGTAAGATTTCGAGCGCTTTATTCAAGGCATTTTCGTAACCTTCAACAATCTCTGAAGTCGTAATTCCCTATAATTAAAAAAACCAATATAAAATTCTGTTTCTATTAATAATACATTTTCTTCTTATTGATATTAATAATAAATATTTCGTGTACAGGATGAATAAAACTAATAGATTTATATAGCTAGAATATATCGTCAAGTATAAAAATATAAATAAATAAATTTTATTTATATTATATTTATATTTTATTAATACATATATTTTATATATTTATATTAATATATTATATTGATTTATACTAATATTAAAATATAAAAAAACAGATGAAATTGACTTACTAGACGAAGCAATTCTTCTGCAGCGTGAAGCAATGCTCCAGCAAAGATAATAACAAAGTTTGTTCCATCTCCTACTTCAGCTTCCTGCATTTTTGATGCAAAAACCAACAACTTTGCAGCTGGATGCTCCACTTCTAATTCATTGATAATCGTTGCCGCATCATTAGTTACAAACAGTTTTTCAATATGATTAATGATCATCTTATTCATGCCATTAGGACCGTATGCGCTTCTCACAGTATCTGCAAATTGTTTGCAGGCCGTAATGTTTCTGTAGATTGCTTCTTCCAGGCCCGAAAAATACTGAAAATACAAAATAAGAAACTCATTGAAGTATTAGATTAATCATCAAGTACTATCTTTTTATTATTTAACGATTAAATCTGATTTAAGAAAAACAAGAATATATGACATATTTCAAGCATAATTTAAGTCGATTGCATTTTGCGTGCGAGACTCTCTGATTCTCGAATCGGAGATTCTCGGATGTCAAAATGCCTATAAAAGGCAAGAACATGAGTAATCTCTTTGTCGCATATCCTTTCCGGCAACGGGCATCAGTCAACGTGCGACAATCCATTGCATGTACATGATTATTGTGACAAAACGGCACTTACGCGGGCCCCATCCTTAAGCATCTGCGCTACGCCAGGCGCTTTCGGTATGTGCATAGCCATTTTCGAAATGTTAAAAATTGAATCGTCTTTTCACGTGAGACACAACGATATTACGGTCCAAACAAGTCCAAAGCGGAAACGGAACAGGTCAGCCAAGATCTCTCTCGAATATGTCTCCAGCTAGGGGATTTTTACACTGGCAAAAGTTTGTAAAGGCTGGCTTGCGCTACCACAAACGAGTTCATTGAGATGCATTCAGAAATCCTACCCGTATTGGAAAGTAGTGTTTACTCGACCAATTAGAACAAAGAAATCTTTACTCCTTTTGTCCTGATTGGTCAATTTGTAGTGACATAGGAATCTATGTAGAATTCTATGAAGATACATTTAATAGCCAATCAATGCATCGTGTCATGTAATCATTGAGTACTTGTTACGTAGTCGTCTAGTGCGAGATCGCCTTGAGGGATTGGCACACACAGGAAGGAATAAAGTATAAATCTTCAAAAAACTGAAAATAGAATAAAGAACGTGGATAGAAAAAGAGTCAACGTGGCTTTTCGTGACAAAGAAGAGGAATCGAATTGTTGAAACCTAGTTTTGCGATCTACGAAAGTGAGGTTCCAGCATCGAACGTCCAGGTAGCCTTTAAATTTGTGGCTTTATTTTCCCCTTTATTTGCTGTTTGTCACAAACTTGCACAGAGATTCTCTGGTTTCTGTTGCACATATACAGCTGTTATGGACATGGTGATCACGAATTTGCAACAGCAGCGTCTTGTGACGGAGCAGCTGCGCCGCGAGGCCGCTCTGAAGCGGATTACGGTGAGCAAGGCTGTCGAAGATATCATGAAGTACATCACCGAGCACGAACAAGAGGATTGCTTGCTGGTGGGCTTCTCGTCGCAGAAGTCTAATCCCTTTCGTGAGAAAAGCACCTGTATCCTACTTTAAACCTGCATGCTTGAAACGAGAAGAGCAACATGAGTGAGAGAATGTCACATCTGTCTCCCTGTAATTGCATGATGGTTCAATGCAACGATAAAAATATTCACGTTCGTAGGATTTAAGCAATTTTTAAATTATTCTATGATAAATCTAAGATTGTTGGAAGAGTGCGAAATCAAATTTTCTGCCTTAACGTTTGCTATTAAGAGGATGCATTTTATACAAAGTTCTCAAATTATATATAGAATTTTATACTATATAGCTATAAAGGAATTTTCACATGCCTTATTTTCCTATAGTCTGATAAAAACTTATTATAGTAGGTTCGAATAAAACAATATATTTTTATATAATAAAAAGAAATACTATTATACATTCATATATATATACTTAAATTGTCAAAATAATTATGATTAAATACCAAAAATAAAATCTCTCTTTATCTTTCAAACTAGTATTATTATAAGAATTAAAAATAATATAGTAAAATAGTTTGACAATAATTTCAAACAACAGGAAAAGCATATGAAAATTTTATTAAAAAATTATAATGATACTAGTTTTTAATCTGTGCTAAACATAATTTTCATAGTATACATTGTACATCAATTGTGGATCAGGTTCTAAGATGCCTTTTTTAAGTGCCTATATGAAGTTAGTTTAAGATTTGACAATGTAATACGAGTATATATCTCCTATTTTATTAAAAGGAACATGATTCTGATTTATATAACTTTATGTATTACAATATTTTATCAAATAAAATGTAAATCTGTAAAATATATCTAAAAATAACAACATTTTCTCCTTTTTCGTATATTTGCCATGCAGCACTTATTCTATTAAAAAGTTATTCCTTGCCATATATATAAATAAAATAGTTCGTTTTGTAGAAATGTAAAGTCTCTTTTTGGATATATTGTCAATATTATTTTCATTATGGATTATTCTACATAATTATGATGTTCCCTTTTTGCTCTTTTTAGCCCTTTTTGCTTTTGACGGGCCATCGGATTGGCTTATATTAGGATACATGTTTTTAAATACAGGCACTAAATCTGCTGTTTTCTCACGAGTTTTCTTAACTGGAAGTAAAGCATATTTTTTATATAATTTATAAGTAAATTTATATAATTCGATAGAAATTTATTTTTGAAGTAATGATTTCCTTGATCTGTATAAATTTCTTTTCTTGTTTTTGTACATTTTTCTCAGCAATTTCAATTTATTAGCACACATACAATATTAATATTACTTACACGACTGCTCAATCGAATCAGATGGTGGAGGACCAGGTTCTTTATCCAGAGCTAATTTCTCTACTATTTGTATTTGACATTCCAATTTGTAGGATCTAAATTTATAGGGATGGTAATCCATATTGAGCTGATCGATCGTCTTTTTCCACAGTGCCACTTCTTCGTCGGTTACACAGTTCTGAGTATCATAATGATGCAATGCTTCGCTTTTATCTCCTATGTTTCCTAAAGTACGAAATTACATTTTCATTTATATGAAATATCTTAAATCATTGTGTGTTATAAATAATATAATAAGATGTACCTTCATATGCAATTTTTGATAGATAAAAGCCACCCAACTCAGCATTTGGAATCATGTAGCAGAGATTAGTTCGAGTATTCATTCGCAATGTAAACATGCAAATGATCATTTTTCCTTTAGCCGCACATTTATTCAATAAAGCGCTGAAGAACAATAAATTGTCTGCAAAAAAGAAACGGAAAATATTATTTTTATAGTAAATAAATATTGTATGTTAAGAATTGAATGTATATGAGAACACATCAAGTTTTCATATTTTGTGTTTCACCTTTACGAGTACTATTGTAATCCGCTCTGACGAAATACTTCCGTTTAACGTGATATCTAAAGAGATCGTCAGGTATAGGTTTTGTGCCGATTATCTTGATGCCTGGTGGATGTATATGCTTTATTTGGGAAAGCTCTTTCTGCGTAAAACGCAGTTTTCTGCAACCAATTAACTCCTTAGTTTCCAAGTTAACTTCTTCTGGTATCATAAAGGGTAAATTAAGTTCGTCATTGTCACTATCCTGTAAGACAGGCAAATTAGATAATCTAGTATTAGAAGAATAATAAGATATCAAAGATTTAAAATATTCAATTTATATAATTAATAGAATTTTTCAGATATATGCACCTCATCATTGGAATCTTCACCCTTGTAATACGTCGATCTCGATAAAATTTGATTAGTAGCTTTACTGAGTGGCTTTGTTTGTAAGCATCTACGTTTTCTGTAAAATAATGTTCATAGTTTTATCTATAGAATTATATAATGATAATGTGTGTTAGGAAAGTTAATATTATTTTTGCTAATATAAAGATTTACCTGCCCAGAGTACGAATGACCAAATCAAGTTCCACATCGTCGCATATCTTGAAACATAAACGCGCAATGTTTTTGGAAGGTGCTTTAATCTGTTGCACTAAATCCACGAGTGATGTCATTTTGTAAACATCTACATCCGTCTTTCTTGATAGGATCTCCAAATCTTTGTAAAATTGATCTTGTACCCAATTCTTCCCCAAACCGATCACATACAACTTAATGTCCAAGTCCTTCAAAGATGCTGCTGTCGATCTGATGCGATGTTTTTCGTCATCTGCGAGTTTAGCGGTATGAGAAGTGATCAGAACTATCCTGCGTTTGGTAAGAACTGTTTTTATCTTCAAGAAAATGTCCATTGCGTATGTTAAAGCATCATGAAGTGGATAAGTATCCTTAGATTTCATGCTCTGGTAGCCTTGCATGCCACTTTTAGCTGTGAGAATTATTGAAAATTCATAAAACTGTGGTTGATAATATTAAAATAAACTATGTTTATTGCTTGGCTGTAATTATTCTTACTTAGTTTTCTGACTCGTTGTAAATCATCCAAGGTAACAACTCGTAGTTCTTGTATATTTTGAATGTGTTTCCATCCTGAGTTTGTGTCGCTTTCTTCAGTACCAAATAATACTACACCCATCCAATCTTGCATACTCCATGCTAATTTCTGCCGAAGAATTTGTTTATATAGCTGAAAGAATTATGGTTAATGACAATCAAATCTTTATATGCGAGTTTTATTAATCAAAATAATGTACAGTATATTTAACCTTGAAAAACTTTTGAATGTGGCTGAGTTTGGTCTCTGGATCTACTTCAAACATTCTGTGTGTCGCATCGACAAGGAATAAAGTAGCTTCTCTTACTCCATACCATTGACTTGCTTGCAAATCTTCTTCCTCATCCATATTAGAATCTTGTACATTGAGTGCCATTTCTGTTATCATACAGTTTAATTTTCTACTATTATTATCCAGTTATCACTCAAATAATATGCTTGATAAATATTTAAGAAAATGGAAAATATTTATAAAATTGATTGCAATATATATATATGTTTAAAAAAATAATTTTAACATACTATTTTAGACATAAAGAACTACTGTAAAATATTTTCATGAAAACACAATAAATACACACACATTATACATATGATATATCACTTTGTATTGTAACTACCGGCATTTTAGAGATTCAAGAATTAAACGAAAAATATGATAAAGTATAACCTATTTCTGAAAAAATTAAAGATTACCGATATTGTAAAGAATTTTGCTCTCTCTCTCTCTCTCGTTTTGATTATATGTCTATAAAGATAAAGACAAAATTTTTATCTTTTTCTATTCAACTAATGCGCATTTAGAATGACGGTTACTGTGAATGAAGGATTGACGTAAGAGTATTGTCACCTACGAGAGTGGGCCCGGAGGTAATTGAAGTATGTTGACATTACCGACCGTTTGTCTGCATCGTAGATAATTACACGAATTATTTAATTCATACAGTTAGTTCATTCGGTTATTGATTTATTATCGAAAACACGGACGAGATATAATTAAAGATCGATGGTCTTATGGGATTTATTAGCATATTACTGAAAAAAAAATTCGCTACGCGCTACTGTAGGTAAGTAAATCTTTGTCGATAATAAAACATCAGTAATTTTACAATAAAATGTTTATTTTGTTGTTCTTGAAGCAATTACATAAAAGATCTATACGTTTTTGATAATAAAACAATAACTGGATGAACTAAGATAAGACGCAGCGAGTTTTCCTTTCAGTCACACTAAATCCCATAATCCATAAGATCACCGGTCTTTGATATCTTGTCGGTGGCATTGTGTTTACTAAATATCCGTTTATTACTTATTGAAGAAAAATAATTAATGGTGCAACTATTGCGATGTTTCGTAAAGTAAGTACTGTAACCACGTGCGAATAAAATGTAAAATCATTTCAAATCAAAGCACCTAAATATTAATTCGCATGTGCTCTATTTTTAGGTTATCTTGGGAGTACGCGGTCAGATCAGTCAATTAAACAATATACGATTTTTATCGCAAGAAATAAATGAAAGCACAAAAATAGAGAAGAGTAAGTATACAATTACGTCAGAGAGAATTATTTGACAGATATTGAGATGCATAGGTGTCTGTACATTCTATTATATATATCATCTCTATGGCATTATAAAGATATTTATTAACAAATGTGATTTCTATCTCTCTCCTCCTCCTCTTACAAACAAAATATAGAAATTATTGTACATTGACACTGTTTCTAAGAGCAAATTTTCTTGTTTTATTTATAGCTGTAAATAATGTAGTTTTACTTGGAAGAGTCGGCGCAGAGCCACAGAAACGTGGAAGCACCGAACATCCAGTTATAATATTCTCTCTTGCAACACATACAAATTATAAATATGGAACAGGTAATACAATCGACATATAACTCTAGAAATAAAGAATATTATGTAATAATAATTATATTGTTTATCTATTTTTTTCTAGGTGATTTTATGCAAAGAACAGAATGGCATAAGATATGTGTCTTTAAGCCTAGTTTGAGGGATGCTGTATATAATTATTTAAGAAAGGGCCAGCGAGTAATGATAAATGGTAGGATAAGTTACAGTGAATTTAAAGATGAAGAAGGAAATTCACGTCCCAGTACAGCTATCATAGCAGATGATGTAATATTCTTCCAATAAGGAGCCTTTTATATACAAATATATATTGTATTTTTTTTCAATAATATTGATCTAAAAATGTACATTTCCTTTTTTTTTATCTAGCAATCTACATCATATTCCTTTAATTAGATAATAGAAATATGACCTATGCTTGCATAATTTCATAAATTAGAAGCATCAAATATTTTGAAATTAATTACTGTCGATGCACACAAAAAAATTCCCCCAATAATTACTTTTATTAAAAACGACATTTATGAAAATTAATGAAGATTTCAAAGTATTGAAGTCCAAATGATAAATTTTAAATAAATTATATATATAATAATTTTAAATATTGATATAATGATTTTAAATATATTGTTCATGAAAAGAGTTTTTGTTAGCACGTTGTATTTTGGATTAGAGAGAGAGAGAGAGTTATAAGAAAATAGTACACACATATTCTTAATAACTAAATAAGTCTATATTTACAACATTCATCATTTCATATGTACTTTTCGTATAACAATTTATATAATAAAACAGCCCTAATCTCTAGGATTTTACATGTTTCATTTTATACACGCGAAACGATATATAAACTTTTCCAACCTTAGATACATCTTAGAGACGCATTGCTTTGCATTATAGTATTATCTGTCTTCATATATGCTGTTATATAACGTATATATATATATATATTTATTCATTTATACATAAACTGCCACTTTTTTCTCTGACAATTTGTCCACATGAAAATTATTTACACGACTGTAAACAAAAATGATGTACATATATATCTGTCTCTTATCTCGATAACATCACGCAGTTCCTCTAGATAGACGATTTGTCTAGAGTCTAGATGTACTCGATGCACATGCGTTTCATCTAAATAATAATACCTATTTAACTATGCAATGCTTTTTTTGCGTTATGTAATGTAGAGATCACAGTATACAAGAAGCCAAATATATTTCTTAATATGTCATTTATTCATACATTTGACGAAACTCATTTTCTCTCTTTCTCTCTGTTGCACTCATACTTCAATTCTCTCATACTTTCTCAGTTTTATATTCTCAAGTGCAAAAATACAATCAGTAATTTTTTTAAAACTTGTTTTCTCTAATTGTGTACGTGTCTCGTTTTCTCCGCGCGCTTCTTTCTCGCGATTTATTTCGCAGACAATCCTTGAATAAAGAGTCGTGGAATGTGAAGCCACAATCGCACCGGCAACAAACATAGAAATTTCGAATATAAATTTTGATAGTAAAATATATATATGTATATATACTTTTTTCTATAGATAAATTTATATATTCTAACTCTGGCCCCGAATTTCCATAAAATTCTTTCGCTATTCTTCTAATATTCGTCTTTTATCTTTCTTCTATTCGCATTTACAATTCATTAGTTCAATTCATTAATTCATGTACATCTACAATACATAATCGATTATACGGCACTCGGTTACAATGCGTTTATTTCATATAACGCGATCGAGCGCGAGCGATACAATACTTGGTTCCAAAATTGTGATATACCGAGTTTTTTTTCTTTTTTTTTTTTGAACGATCCATTAAATACATATAACTAAATATCGTCCACTTATTAAACGGCAAATATTCTTGGCACAAATACGTCAAAGTAACGGAAAACCGTTTCAGTGCACAAGAGCTTGAGAAAATCCAGTTAAATATCTCTCTTCTAGGACTCGCTTTATAGAGTCGATATACATAAAAAATCTTATTGAACTGCCGTGGAAAGATTTTGTCAAGCTCTTTATACTCTTCGGAAACTTCATGGAAACGTTTGTAACGTAACTTTTCTGTGATGAATTTACACGAACGTCTCAAATCAGGTAGTCTCTCTCTCTCTTTGGGATCGACCTTATTCGCGGACTAAGTTTCACCAAAAATAAAGTCACATCACAGAACACATGCTTAAAATTAAGAAAAGAAAAAGAGAGACGTTAAAGAAAGGAAAGACCTGGTAACAGTTCTCCCTCTGGCATTCTTTGTACATTGAATCATTGTATGTATGCTGTTAAGCGCATCTAAGTCCGTACACATCTCGTCGTTGTAAAAGCGGAAAGGAAATTGCCCAACAATTCGCATGGGTGGTTCGCCCAGTTACGAGGGAAGCGAAAAAGGAGGATAGGGCGGAATATCCGCAAAGATTCAGCTTCAGAGATCGAAGCGTCTATCATTATCTCCGGTGCACAACGATTCAACGCGAATCCGTGTGAGGACGGAAGGCGAATTTCGTTATCCGATTTGCACCGTTAGAGATGGTATTGCCAAAACGTGCTCTCTTCCCGCGCTCCTTATCACATTCGTACATGACGTCATGACGAAAATGGAGAGTATTCTTGTGTGATTGCAACTTTAACCTGTCCTCGACAGACAAAGAAAAGCACAGAAAATCTAATTTCTTGATTCCTCAAGAATTATCTTTGGAACGTCAATGTCTCTGTGAATTGGATAAACGAGAAAAATCGCTCGTCTTCCTCTATTCTGACGGATATTCTCTAGAAAGTCTCGTACATTCGAATCGTCGTGTTTCCAGAGTCCTTTAACTTAATCGCGATTGCATTTGACAAAATTCCGAATCATTCTCGTACTTCTCTCCATCAATCACCACTAATTATCTCGATTAGATCTCATTATTATCTTGTCCTTCTAAACCTTGTCAACGAGTTATGCTTTTCGGATTCCATCTGTTCTCTGCCGTCTTGAAGACTTTCGCGTCTTCGTGCGGATATCTCCTTCTTATCAACAAATCGATGAACCGGACAGAGTGGATGCTCACTCAATCTTCAATTTCATCCTGCAATCTGTCGATCAGTTGTCGATATGGAACCTTTGTTACATAGAGTTCGTTTCACCGCCGGCTCTCAGTCTGCCGCGGCGCGATTAACGATTACGCGTGATCATAGCTTTCCTGCCATCGCTAGGTCCCGCGTCACTTCCTCTCTTCCGGCTCCTGATTGGTCTTAACGAGGTTGTACGCATGACTTCTGTACTTGGCAGGTGGATCGTGCAGTGGCAAGGGCTGTTGCTGTTGCTGCTCACTCGATGGCTGGTTCATACTGGACATCGAGAGATCCGTCGGCATGTCCGCTTCCGGTTCCGTTTCGGGACTCCCGGAGAGAGCCCCTTCTTCCTCCGGTTCCGATTTTATTCGCATTTGATGGCGCAGCGACGATATGTTCTTGATGTTTTTCAACTCGACTGAGTTACGCAGAAATCTACAAAGAACAAAGACAATCGCAATTTTTTATCCGAGAACAAAACAATTTTGATGTATTCTAAATACGAAATTTATTTGTAAACTTATTATTGTAATAGTAGCAAGGATAAATTTTGATATTTTTATTTTGTTAAACCCGATTCAAAATTAGTGAATCGTCACATGTATTACTAACATGCGTGATTCTGTCGCAATTATTTTACATATAATAGTGCTTAATTATTTATTATTATAATAAATACTCACTGATAACAGTGTCGTTCGCCTTGAACCTTTCTAAGTATGTTCACGCGATAGTAATAACGTAGAGCTCTGCTCATCTTATCATAATTCATAGAAAGATGATTTTTTTGGATGCCCCAAAGTCGTGCCAGACCGGGAGGATCGACGATTTTGAAAACGCCGGTGTCCCGACTCTTCCACGCAATGAAATTGTGGTACCGTTGCTGGGGGTCATTCAGCAATTGCTGAAGAAAGTCCCAGAGCAGTCTTCCATCTAAACAGAACGGCAGAAATTGCTACAATGTAAATAAGTCATGAGAAGGTAAAAGCAACATGGCACTTTTCGAGATTTTATATTTAATAAAGTGTTTGCCAATATATCAATTAACATGCGCGCACGTACACACGATTCAAATAGGTGATTCAAAAATTTCTGAAATGTGTCTAAAAAATATTTAAAAAAATGACATTTTTTACATGTTTTTACGACGTTTACATTGTCCGAAAAGCGACGACTATCTTACGCTAATACAAGCTGAAAAATCACGAATACTAACTGGTGTTGGGTTCCGACGAGTCACTGGGGAAGAACTCTCTGGCCGCATTGGCGGTAGTCGATCGAAAAGCGCCGGGTGTCAAAGGCATTAATTGCGACGGTAACGTCGGACTCGGCTGATCTTTGACACTCACTTCGCTAAGCCTCTGCGCCGTTAAGGCGGTCGGCGTGGGCGGTGGGCTACTGTTACCGCTTGATACCTGGTGATTGTTGTCCTCGTCCGAGTCGCTCTTGTAGATCTGCGTCTGATTCGCGTCGGTCGCGTGGCTGGGCGAGCCCGATTGACTGTCCACGGACGGCGCCGGCGACAACGTCACCGAGTTAGCTGACATCAGAGAGGCAATATTCTGAGCGTATGGCGTCGTCTCCGTCCATGTGGGTGTGGGCGGGTGCGAAAGCGGACTCAGCGGATACGCGGACGGCCTGGTCGGTGTCACCGGGCTGCTTGGCAGACACCTCTGCAACTGGCTGTAGTCGCGCACCAGCATGCTAAGCACGTTGTGCAGCACGTCACCGGCGCTTGGACACCTCTCGCCCATATCGGCCTTCGTCAACAGGCACAGCGCCTTGCCATTCATCTGGAACACATCCATGTCGAATGGCGGCAGGTCGAATTCCTGCTCGGCCCATCGCAGAAACGCCGCTACGTCTTCCCGCGACCACAGTCTAGGATCGGACACTGAAAGGAGAGAAGATGCTATAAGTCGCCTTGTAACCGCAATGTAACATCGTATATATATTTTTATAATCAATTCGCTCATTCCTTTAACGAAAAGTCACGTGCGTATCGATGTTAATATATAAATTATGTAAATTGATCTCAAAAAAATCAAAATAATGTCACACAAAAATTCTATCTGTGATTGAAAATCTCGTCACAAAATAAAACATTAATTTTATAAGCTTGCAAAGAGAACGTTATTCATTTTGACGACACTTACCTAGACTCGTTGGTAAATGAGTCTTGAAATCTAGGAAGGGACTGGGCGGCGGGTGCGTCGTAGGCGGAAAATTTAGCGAGAACCCATACTGACAATGAGCCCGCCAGAATAGATCCGGATTGAAAGGCAACGATCTACCCGGTGGCAGCCGGGAATCCATTCCGGTCATTCCGCCTGCGGCGGAAGCTACCGGCGATAGCTGAATTGATGACAATAATTTCATAACACGCCCTCACTACCGGCGGCTTCTGCAACAGAAGAAATGATCGGATTTATTAATTAATAGATTCGACTTAGGAAAATTGAGTAATTTAAGTAAACCTCGTAATAAATTTAAAAAAAAACCGGTTATATAATATAAACGCATTTTTATCTAATTAGCTGAGCTATTTCAATATCATCTGTACATCACCCGTTTCTCGTAAAAGTTATAATCATGACTTAATTAAATTCTAAATGCTGCAACGTCATGGTTTGATTCGCTTACGTATTTATTACGTATATATATATATATATATATACGTAATAAATACGTAAAATAGGGAAAATACAGAATTATTTTGGCGCTAAAGGCACGCAAGAAAGTGATCTCTCTATATTTAATCGCGAGGAGACATGACATTGACGCAAAGTGTAATCTTCCGTACACGTATATCGTCGAAAATTGATCTCTAACATATATAGCGCTCTGTACCTCGTCTAACGAGCCGGCGACATAACGATCGCTCGCTTTCCCTCGATGTACAATGACGGGAGATAATAGCGCCAGATTACACGCCGGCTTCTTACAACGCGGACATGGACGCGAGCGAGGTCGTGCAGACTCGCGAAGAGAAGTGAGAAGAGTCGCGACGGCGACGAGGTGTCGTCGTCCCTCGTCGTCTTTCCCGACCGGTTCGCAGACTATCGTCGACTATTAGCATAGAATGTGAGGACATAAGAATGAAAGCCGGCAGGAAACGCGGATTTACATAACGTATTTCCATCGACGTCGACGAAGCTATTTCCGTTCCCGACGTCGGCTGGCGAAGATCCGACAGGCTAAGCGAAACTTTACTTGACGACGCGAAACTCTCCGGTCCAAAGAGTTGCGCTGCTCATCTCGAAATCTGTTCGGCTAATTGCTTCCGAAAGTTTAATTCGCTTATAACACCTTAGAATTACGGGGGGTACTCGAAATCTTAGTCAAGAATATTCCTACTGCGAGGGATTTATCGTTAAAATTCAAACTGAGTCGTCCTGCATGTAAAGTTTATATCGGTTAGTAGGTAGAATAAGAGCTACACACCTTGCGGTATAGAATAAAGTTAGCTATACGCGGAAGAGACTGCAAAAACGAATCGTTACGTTCGAGTATGAATAAAAAGAGCTTAATTTGCTATAAAGTAGCGCAGTTTCCTCACCTCGCTAATGACACAATTTATATGATAATCATGTACATATTGATAATCCTTGTTTCACCAATAAATATCAATTATTAACGAGCTGGAGCGATTGCGGTTAATGTCGTGATATAGTATAATTATTTCTTGCACATTAACTCACGATAATACGAAAAAAAAAATAAATAAATTATGATTTGATTTAATGTATCTCTCAATAAGAGGAAATAAAATATTTTGACGTCATCACGTCCGCGCGCGCGTTTATCGAGGCTCTACATAAAACTACATACTAACCACCACTGAAGTATGACATTATTAGATCGATCTACATATTTAGTGTCATCGCTATTTGACTATTTTAATTTCGATCTCATTTTCCGTGCCTTAGAAAAAAACGCGAGACACATGTAAAATATACCTTCATTTTAATCAATCTTTCTTAATTTTTATCTATATCATTTTGTTTACTACATCAGCTCTAATATCATAAATATAAAAATAAAAAGGCGATTATAATTAAATCTTCACCGAAAAAAAAAAATTGTTTCAAATCTTTTCAGGAATAGACCCGAATCGCTATTTGGTTCTTTTTAATTCGGGATTCCGGCATATTTCCAGCAAGAATCTCCTTTATAACGCTAAAAAATAATCGCAAGAAGCTCTCGGCGGCACTCATTCGAGAAGAGAGAGAAAGAAAGAGAGAGAGAGAGAGAGAAGTACCCTGAGGGAAGAAGGCAGAAACCTCGGCATGCGAAGGTCGATGTGCCGTTGTCTCGCACCAGGAAATCCTGGTCGTCTCTTCGGTCTTTCCTCCCCCTCTTTTCCCCTCTTTAAATACCGCGAATGGCCTTATACTCAGGTGCTTCTTTCAGCCGGTGATTTTTGACGCTCGATTAATTAAAACAGCTACTTGAAGCGCGGCATCGAAGAATGAATTCGAGGATCGTCTGCATAACTAAATTTACACCGCGCCTACTTCATAATATTGCTTCTGTGTGCTTTTCAGCGACTATTATCCCGAAATTCTTATGAAAACATCTAAAAGAGGAATGTCTCGATCATCTTTTATAAATAATTAACTTCAAGATTGACTTCAGAGAGAGAGAGAGAGAGAGAAAGAGAGAAACTTGATTGTTAAGTTGTTTAATATCGGAAAAAGAATTTATAAAAAAATGGTCCATAAATATGTAAATCTACGATGTGATCGATTTAGAAAATCGAAGATTTAGGAGATGCCAAAGATACAATTTCGAACTTTTGACGACTGCGATCCCGCTCGAGATCATTTTAATGTATCGTAATGCGTTTTCAAGAAATAAAAAAAGCGATAATTGTACAAGACGTTCCTCTTTTTCTCTCTCTCTCATTTGGATGTAAATTACAATTTTCTTCTTAATAAGAAAACAGAATTCTGTGATCCGTTTCGCATGTTTCTCGCGACGTTTTTTTTTTTTTTTTTCGACGATGAGAAAGAAATAGATTGCTCCGCGAATGACGATGGAAGCAACAGCAAAGTATTACAACCGCAACTCCATTCGCGATTTCCGGTGCGCGATTGAAGGACGGAAACGCGTTCGATCGCGACGAGGTGACATTCCGAGATTTCCGCGTTGTCTATTTTTATACCACATCATTATGTAGGTAGAAAAACGTGTAAGAAAATCTTTTAAAAACTTAGAGTTCCTCTTCTTTATTAGCTCCTTTATTCACCCTTTTTAGTTCCTTCTTCTTTATCTTAATTAATGAAATCAATTCGTGAAGCAAATGACGAACTTCATATTTTATCTTTTTCTCTTCATCTTTTCTAACTTTTTCTTTTTATATCTCTTCTGTGCAAGTTTCTCTTTTTTTCTTTCTCTCTTCTTGTCCTCCATTCTGTTATTTCTATTTTTTATTTATTTATTTTTTCGATCTAATAAACTTCATGATGTAAAGAATGCAATGACCTTGATTATACCATCTTGTTTACGATCGATCTTGCGCCTTTACGGCCGGATTTCCCCACACGAAAAAGCTCTCGGCAGATCATCGTCGCAAATGTGTTTACATTTCGTCGCCAAGCATCGCGTGTTGAATAGCTCGGAACTCGTCGCGTAGAAACGAGCGCGATAATCATTCATGTATAGAGATAGCGTTGTAATTCGATAGTAACTGTCACACTCTCTCTCTCTCTCTCTCTCTCTCTCTCGCCACGTATTTCAAATGGGTCCGTGTCGGCTCGTAAACATTACTAAAAGTAAGCCTTAATTTACTTGACGTTGCGGAAGGCGCAAATTGCCTACGTGGTAAATGAGGAAACAAAAGTCGGAATATTCACATGTGCGAACATAAGTGCCCTAAAGCGTGACATTATACGAGAAAAACATTTTGCGTCCTATCAGCTGTATTAATGTCTCATCTCGAGATATATAAAGATAGAAGTATTAAAACTAACAATGTTAGCATTTAATAATTTCATTATTATGGCGTGATAATATATTTCTCAATCTGAAAATTATACATACAACTACGAGAGATAACTAGAATGTAGAGTTCGAACGTTTCCGAGAAGTGTGTATGTAAATTGAACATTTCACGACATTGTAAATAATGCTATTTAAATGACACACTGCACACTAGACAAATATATATATAATTGAACATTTCACGACATTGTAAATAATGCTATTTAAATGACACACTGCACACTAGACAAATATATACACACACACACACACACACACACACACACACCTTTAGGACTTATTTCTCATGTCTTTAAATTAGCGGCTTTTTCCTGCATTCTCGCGGCATGACGCGATTGAATTTAAATCGAGCTGACCACTAAAATGCATAAGAACATTAACGCAGCATCCCGAAACGCCACAATCTGCCTATAACACGCAATTAACTGACAACGTTAAGATGATTTTATCGAAGAACACGGTCAATGTCGAACATAAAAAAAATTGCATCTGCGTGATTAAACTTTGTCCATCCAGTCGTGTCTCCTTTTGCATCGTCGTCGTCTCTTCGTCGATCGTCGTAGTCTCCTTAATGTCATAGGTTCGTTATGCCTTATCCATATCGGCCCGCTGGCAAGCACACACATTAAACCGGTTGCGTAACCCGCGCACGAGAAAACGACATGTGCAATTTGTTAAGATCAATACGCACACGCACGCACATATATATTCGTCTCGCGATATCTCCCATTTTGCCACAATTGTTGCGCGATTCAAAACGAATGATCTGATGACGACGATGACTGCGACTCTTTCGATGCATGCGCTCCGAAATCTTTGTTTGTGCGCCCAATAAGCGTGATACGCTGGAAAAAACCATACGTAAAAGAAAATTTGAATGTATAATTTAACGCGTCTGTCTGTACAAATGCAGCAAACAATGCACACGTATTTATGGTACAATCGAGTATTAATAAATTAACTTAATAAATATACTTGTTCTCTTTATATCTGTTTACAAGTTATTTATCGAGGGTGCCTCTTATCGATATAGAATCATCGATATCTAACTTATATTTATAACTGCGCACTAAAGTCATTAATTCTTCATAAGTACTTTTTCTAAGCAATACAAAAATGGAAAAAAAAAATATCTACACAAACCATTAATAGAACAAGCGCAGAAATTTCGAAGACGAATAAATGCTGCGATGAGCGTGATGGAACTGTTTCAACAACGCCGAGCGCCAATGATGAGTCGATCGAGCTCGCAAGAAGTCACGGCCTGGAAAGTGTAATCACCTCGGCCGACCATCATCGTCGCGGGCTCCTCGACGGGTCGAGGAGGAAGTAGGTAAATACGCGCATCCGCGCGGCAAAACATATCCGCAGGCACACAAATGGACGCGCAATAACAAC